AGTTTATTTTTATTATTGACTTCTTGAATTTTAATTGCTGCCCGAGTTGCGTTGGTTTGCTATATTTGTGTATGTGTAAATTTCATCCCATTTTTCTTCGATATTGTTCTATAATTGACCTTCAGGCTGTTGTATAAACATATAGTAAGTAAAAATTTGGATTGGATTATTATTATTATTATTATTATTATTATTATTATTATCTCCACACGTCTGCAATCGGAGCCGTTTCTCTCAATCACATTTATACTCTTCAACCTAAAATTGTTAATAATATTTGTTCACAATCCTAATATTCTGTGTTACGTAGTCTCAGTTATCCTGCCCTTGTTACCTCTCTTCATCTTTGTTTGTTTACTTTTCTGTATTAATGTGTTTTATCCTCCAGTGCTTGCGTGTAATTTGCCTTTGACTTTATGTTGTGTTTGCCCATAAAGTAATCACCTGTACCTACACTGTTCTTTGTCCGTAATTGCCCTTGTGGCTGTTGACTCGGCACATAAATAATAAATATTCTATTGAACCATTATTATTGTTGTGATGCATTGTTAGACAATGTCTCTGTAAACACTTTCCAACACGCAACAATGGAAATTGTGTTCTCAGTGGACGAAAGTTACGGCTCGTTGCTAAGCAGCAGTCAGCGCGCCAATGAAATGGCTGGATGGCCATCACGTGATAACCCCAACAGAGGTGTTTCAACAATAGAGATTGTGTTTTCTACACGTTGGTCCGTGCCACGTCTATATAACGCGAGTCCACTTTTAGCTAGATCAGACTAGAGAGAGAGAGAGAGAGAATTCCGAAGTTCCAAGGCAGAAGTAGTGTGGCCAGAAGTCGTAGAAGGAATTAGACTGCTCCAAGAAGACAATGTGTGACATTCCATGTGCTGTAGTAAGCGATATCAGCAGAGTGTAAATTAATGAGACTCTTAAAGTTTCCGTGTTATAAATACGTTGCAAGAAAACGGATAGTGGAGACTAGTGGAAATGGACTGCGAATATTTTTGTGGTGTGATCTTAGATTGTGTAAATCAGCAATAGTGTAATAACTATTTGTATTTACCACCTGTAGATGATTAATAAATCCATTTACCAATCAGATCCCCTTCTTTAGTCACTAATACACGTGACATTATTATCATCATTGCACACATGAATGGTAGAAATGTATGTGTTTCCTTCATTGCTGTGTGGCCGTAATGCAATTACTGATGATAAGGTCCATATACTCAAGCTCCTAGCTTTACGGAGAGTCTGGAAACAACCGGACTGGGACTACTGAGAACAAGGTAAAACCTGAACGTTCCCTACACAGTGCAGTCGTATGGCAGTCGAGAATAATTTCGAAACCGGAAACTTGAAGTCGGCAGTATCCATGCCTATGAATGGATTTTGTGAAACCCGTGCAATGCATGGAAGTTGCCCATCTTAGGAAGGCAGCTTCGGGGCTTCTTTGACAAGTTCAACAGCCCCTTAAAATGGTAGGGGTTCCATTACCTTCAAAGCCACAACCATAGAAGAAGGGTCTGCGTTGAGCCAGCCAGGTGAATCGAAACATACGGGTTTATATTTCTATGTAACCACCAAAAGCCTCTTTACCATATTCATGTCAGGGATGTCCAAATCAAGAAGGGAACTTCAGAAATAGTTCACCAAAGAAGTTAAACTAAAGCAACTCGGTGGGTAGGGTCTTTCTTGAGAAGTCGACAATTACTCGTTACCTCTCATGAAAACAAGAATTATATTGTAACGGACCTTTGATAAGGTAAGCTATGCAGGACTACTCTACAAAATCAAAAAATATCTGCCCATCACTTATTTCCACTTACAAAAATCCTATATCTTGCACTATCTTCGCTCGCTCGGAAGCCGGGATTGTGGGTTCGAATCCCACTCAGGGCATGGATGTTTGTGTGCATTTTTCTGTGTTTATCTGCAGGTAGAGGCCTTGCGACGAACTGATCACTCGCCCAAGGAGTCCTACCGAATGTGTAAGATCTAGTAAACCGAAGTGAAACGGAGAGTTTCGTGGAGGTAGGCCTAGGTCCAAATTGGGGCTGTAGCGCCACAGGAAAAAAAAATCCTATATAAATGGCAGAGAGTTCAGAACAAGAATCAATGATAGCATATCTAAAAATTTTGCAATAAAATCAGGTGTACCATAAGGCAGTGTCTTGGGCCCGCTACTTTATTTACTGTATACAGCAGACCTACCAGTCAATGCCAACACAACAATGGGCACATTTGCGGATTATACCGTGATCCTCTCAGCCAACACAGATCCAGCAATAGCTACCTTCACTTTGCAAAATCACCTAAATCAAATACAAGAGTGGACAAATACATGGAAAATAGAAATCAACGAAACCAAGTCAGTGCAAGTAAACTTCAGTCTAAGAAGAGAACAATGTCCTGCAGTTTTCTTTAATAAAATACAAATACCTGAATCTCCCAGCACAAAATACTTAGGTATTCATCAAGACAACCATCTAACCGAAACATGTAGTGTGTAAATGAGAGCAAAACGAAAGACCTGTAATATATGGTTTGCACTGAAGACGGAGTCTGTATCATGTATCTTCAAGGTGTGGATCCTGTTTGTATTTCTGCACTTCCTAGTGTCACGAGACCACAAATTTCTTCGTTCATTGCTCTTATAAACTACCACCATTTATTTCTATGCAACTCTGTGGAGATCGAGACAATAAACATAATATCTTATACAGTCCATAAGAGCTGGTTTGCCTCCAAAGAGTGGGAAACTGGGAAATATACAAGACCCACGATCTCTTACCTCATTCCTCTTATGGAAGTTATCTGACACCTGGTCATTGCTTACGAGTTTGGTAGTTCATCAAAGAATCTTTTGTTTGACCTTATCGAGTTTTGTGAACAACTGTGAGTAAGGTTTTCGGAACTTTTTTAGTTTAATTAAGATTCGTATAATTTGGGAAGGTAATTTTTGGTGGGCTTGGGCCTCCAGAGCAAGGGTCTTCATCCTGAGAAATTTAAATCAGGAAGACTGAATGAAAAACTAGCTATAAATATGCCGTAAGTGGTCAAGGCTCCCACATCTTCTAGACAGTCGGCTCAAAGATGGCGGCAAGGTTGTCAGCCTTAAGCGCCCGCCGCCCTTTACCCCAGGAATCTTTCTGGTATTCATTTCTCTTTGAGGCTGAGTCGATTCTAAGGCCATAGTGTAGCTGGAAAGATAAGGTAAATTGAAAAATCCAGTGACCTCATCGGGAATCGAACCAGCGACCTTCCGGCTTATAGCATTCTGCCTCAACCAACTACGCCACAGCATACCCCATAATAACTGTTGATTAACATCAAATAGTGCCATAGTGGTAAAGAGCAGACGGTATACCGCACGTGGAACTTAGAATTTTATAGGGTCGGGTGGTTACATAGATTCAACAGGTCATTACTACGAAATGAGAGACATTTCGAGACTTTTTGAACAAAGAACACCGTTCATTTTAGTCATTTTTCTTTGTAGCATATCCATTTCGAAACATGATGCATTGATCACAATGTACAATTTTGTGCACAACGCTTTCGTCACAAGTTAAAAAATAACACGAGAAAGTACGACTCATCTCTTTTATCGAGCTGTGGAAATTCTCATGAGGCTGGGTTAGACACTTTCTGTTCGAAATAGCAGAGAATATAAACTACTGACTCAAAACACATAAGGTATATAGTAGCTTATACCACTGCAGACCCCCCACTAGAGTCAGGGTTGGGTTCACAGCTGTGGTGACCCCGGGGCAATCAAATTATATAGACCGCGTCAGTAACAAAAAATTTAGTTCATGACTTTTTTTCTTATTTCTTAAAATAACTAGAAATAGAAACTAACTTTTCGCCAGTTCGGAGGAGCAAACGTCTCAGTAATGTCTGTGAATTGCATTTCAGTCCTTTGGATCCCGCGGGCGACAGCGCCTCCCTAAATCCAAACCTAATTATAGCTCTGACACTAAACCCTGAAAATATGCATCCTATTTGCCCTGTGTGTCTCCCGTTTATCCACATAATGCGACGTTATTAGCTAACGTGCTACTATAGAACCAACACAGCCTCTCTGGGTTTATGAGGGGTTACACTGGCTCACTCTTTCTTCACACTCTTCCTCTTTCCTTCCCCCCTGTCACGGTTTCTGTTACGGTTTCCTTCATTTTTCCTTCCTTCTTCCTCCCATTTCTCCCTAAATCCCTTCCTTTACTTCGCATGTTTGTTTGTTCCTTTCGTATTTACGTCATTCTCTCCCTGTTTTACTTGCTCTTACCCCCTTCCAGTTACATTTTTGGTGTGTTTTTGATTTTCTTCTTCAGTCCTTCATTCTTTCGCTTTTCTTTTTCTTTCTTTCTTTGTGAGTTTATTTCTTCTTAGGTTCTTTACCCTTCTTTCTTTCTTCCTTGTTGCGTGTTTGTTTCTTATTTTCCCCTTTCTTTGTACTTCCTTTCTTTTTCTCACTATTTCTCTATAATTTTTCTTATTTTTCACCATGCCTCTCCCTTTTTCCTTCTTTCTTTTCTCTTCTCTGTCTCTTTTAATATGTTCATTTCCTTCTCTCTTTGAGTTCAAAACACCAAGTGTTACAGCACTTCGCGCAATGTGCAGTGGAAGATGTGCCTCCGCCATTTTGTGTCCGCTTGGTGAAACACGCGGACTGGTGGCCAGAAAGTAAACTGACTGTACTGATGAATGGAAATACATATGAGTGTAGAAGTCGCAAGGACTGACGTAACTGCGAAGTCTGAGATTCTGGCTCCGTGGCTACTAAACACGAGACTAACCTCTCTGTCCCTGTCAACTGAATTTCGTCTTTCCTTTCTTCTTTTGGTGACTTTCGTCCTTACACTTCATCTCCTTCTGTTCAGGAGATTAATGTGTTGTGTCCTGACCCAACTGCCCACACGAATCATCACAAAAGCCCCTCTATCCATTGGTTAAATCTATTCTATGTCTCTATCAAACACATCAAGTACTTACATGCTTTGTCACGATCTTCTCGTTTTCTGTCAACTTCGTCTGTAGCAAGAAGCCGTGCCTCAGTTTTGCATCCCTGCAACGGAATAAATTTATAACTCTGCTGTCTCACAATGCAATATGAATTGCTAAATTTATGTAACGTCAAAAGAGATAACAAAAGGTAAAGTTGTTTCTGCGAGTAATTAATTAAGCACCACGCCACGAAGACCAATGTGACCATTCTGAACCTCGACATTAGATGAACATGAGTGATCAGTTTCACGTACAAGCTGCTTTACCCCCTGGGAAAAGCGCCCCCTGTACCCACTGGATAGGAAGTTGGTGTGAGCTCAATATCAAGCAGGACATAGTCGAGAAGAAGGAAATCCTTATTTCCTGAGGGGAATCGAACCCCAGCCATCCAGCTCGTAACCATTCACTATACCGACTGAGCTATACCGGTTCCCAGTATACAATGAAATATGGCTGTATAATTACTAATGAAATTTCGAGAATGATACTTGATAGAGGAATTCTCCGGTTTTCATTCAAATAGAAGGTTCATTGCTGTATTTTCCACTATTACTATTTCAGATAAATAAAATCCACAATATCAAATCCTGTTTCTTTAAGATCAATTTCAACATTAGGCTTAACATTTACATTTACGCCTACATTTAACAAGCGATCTTGTCAGAATTTCCGGCTAAAATCAAGTATACATCCATCATCTGTCCTATATTCCCGCCAACTTCAGTCTTCTTGATATGAGTACTTTAGCATTTGAAGAAGGGTACAGTATGTAGCAAAATGTGTTAGAAATGAAGAGATTTAACAACTCGGAGCAGTGTGAAAGCGGCTTTACATTTCTGTGCTAAACTGAAATGTGGCTTAATGAAGTTAAATTCAAGGCCGTAAACGGCCGCAGAAGCAAATAGACGAAGCCGGAGAACTTTCCCTAACAAACCTATTTCTATTAAATCATGACGACGTAACTCTCATCTGCAATAACAGCGATACGTATTGATCTTCACCGTAAAAACTGTATATGCCCGTTATTATCTCATGTTTTTATAACGAGCTAAAGCGTCTACTTCTTGTTTTGGTTTCTTGGGTTGGGGCGAGACTGAGTCCCCTTGGTACGTCGGCCACTGATTGACCTATTGTACCAGCCCCGGACAATAGATGATGAGTGTGGAGCAGTCAGTGGAATGAGAATTGGCAGAGGAAGCCGAAGTACTTGGAGAAAACCTGCTCCATTGCAACTTTGTCCACTACAAATCCCACATGACATGACCCGGGCTCGAACCCGGACCGCCGCCATTTACATCGCAGGAAGATTCCTGGTACTCATTTCTGTCTGAGTCGACCCCTGGGCCATATTACGCCTGGAAAGATTAGGTTAACTGAAAAAATTAAATGATTTCATCGGGAATCAAAACCGGGACCTTCTGGTTTGTAGCACAGTGCCTCAACCAACTACTCTACCGCGATCCTCCAATGAATCATTTGCGGTGGATTAAAAATATGATGGGAAAATAACACTTGACGTGACACAAGAGTAGATGGGAGGACAATATTAAACTAGTTTTCTGGGTGTGAAGTTGTATACTGGGTTCAACTGGTTAAGGACAAAGTACAGTAATGAGAGCTTCTGAATATATCAAGCAGTCTTCGAGTGGAATAAAAGCTGGAACTTTCTTGGGATTTAAGAGATTATGCTCTAATACAAATTCAGGGCCTGTAGAGGGACGGCTAGCTAATCAGAAACTGTATCATAGTTCCTACCGCTTACAGTAGTCTTAACGGTCAAAGTCCTGGTAGAGCACACGGTGTGTTGTAGCTAGGTTATAATATATTCCGTAGTGCCGTATAGAGGAAACCCCTGCTCTGAGTGAATGGAATGGAAGCGCCTTTGAAAAGCGGGCGGAAGGGGAAGGGGGTGCTGGCGCATAAAAAGAGCAATACAAAAAACCCTGTGATATTAGTAAGGAGTTAGGTAATACGGCCCTGCTATGTACAACGCAATGACGGATTCAAGAGCAGGTGGTTAAGCTCATTACAATGTTAGCAAGTTGTTTTCACCTGGCGTCCAGAGCACACGAATAATGAATATAACTATATATAGTAAGGTACACTCAGCATCAAAAAATATTATCCATCGTTCTGAGAGTCAGGGTAGGAACACTGTTTTCAGTACGGATCTGAATACATCCTAATTTATGCCGTGTCTTCTGCTGAGTTGGTTAATTGCATATTCATGTGGTATTTCAATGGCAAGCTTTGTATTAAATTTACAGCCACATATTAAAAATATTAGGGGTACGCGGTAGCGAAGTTGGTTGAGGCACTATGCTACAAGTCGGAAGGTCGTGGGTTCAAGTCCCGATGAGGTCATTGGATTTTTTTCAATTGACCTAATCCTTCCAGCCGCACTATGGCCCTGGGATCGACTCAGCCTCTAACAGAAATGAGTACCAAGATTATTCTTAGAATGTTCCTGGGGGTAAAGGGCGGACGGCGCGTAGGACTGACAACCTTGCCGCCATCTATGAGCCGATTGTCTAGAAAATGTGGGAACCTCAACACCTGAAAACAGTATGGGACTCCACGGCCTGTTACAAAAATACATTTACTTTTACTTTTTACTTTCTTATCATAAATATTAACATAACTTACTCATAGAAGGAATATGAAGTTACCGTGGCCTATTTTATGTTATTGTCCATGCGTAGAAGGTTCTAATATGTGAAGTTAATACAGTCACCTGTATTCGAGACTAATAACGTGGGTTCTGGATTGGATGAACGGTTTAATTTACTCCTGATACACAGCACCAGTAATTACACGCAATTACAGCTCTATCGTTATTTACTCACTTTCCAGTTCACCGTTGCACACGCACTGGGATTCTCAGTTGCTACTAGTCCCCTTCTGGCAACGGATTTCAACACAGAAATTAGCACTTCAAATCACTGGAGTTATGTTGCTATTTCGTCTGCATCACTCTGGAACCTCGGAACTAAAAATTCTTCTGGACTCACTCCTCCAACTTACGGCTGACTCGTAACTGCCCTGGAACGAATTCTGTTACTGTTACTTATATAGCCGCGGAACGGACATGGACCTACAGTAAACACATATCACGTGATCCAGGCAGTCTATTGGCGCGTCGGTCGGATCTATAGAAAACATAGCTTCCTCTATTTTTGCGTGATGGACCTTGTATACACAGCTGTTGCCTGGTAAAGCGTTGATCACATCCGTTACAATACATATTTTAAATCTTTAGAGCCCTGTGGTTCTTACATGCACCTCATTTAACACAATAAAAGTCTATATTCTGTCCACAGATTGCGTTTGTTTATTTCATATCGTTCTCAAAATAAATAACAAATATATCCACGAACAGCAATAACCAGTTGGGTCTTGTAGCGGAGACATAAGGCGTTTCCTATGAGGTACAAACTACACTTTTATATATTATTTAGAAGAGAATTAGCCATTAATTCGCAGTATAGGAAAAGGAGAAATCAGAGATGAAAAATATATGAGGCTTAAACTTGGCGGTGGTTAAGATTACAGCCATTCCAGTAACTAAGCTGCCGTTGTAGCATAAGTTACTTAAGATAGGCATGATCTGCGTTGCAACGTTTGGAGTGAAAGGCGACTTTTATATAGTGCAAAAGTGAGAATTTTCAATAACATATTATATGTGGGATAGATACACTTGACGAAAGCCCAATCATATTCATAAGAGGCGAACCCATCTTTTCGTCAGAGAGGATATTACATAAGAACTATGACCTCAAGACTTCAGTTGAAAAAATAATCTATTTTCGTGAGCCTCTAGGGGCTTGGTGCCAAGAAAAAGTGATTGGCGGTAAACGGCCAATTGTAAAGTAACTTTGACTATGACTTTGACTAACTCTACAAAGGTTTAATTTAAAAATGATCCAAATTCTCTTGGATTTTTCTGATAGCGGAAAATGTATTTGTATTTAATTTCTACTGGACACAAATAGTCCGTAAAACTTGAGCAAGGCCTGCTGTTTATAGGCAAATTTCTGGAAATTTTTCAAATTTATTGGTTATACACATAGGACAATTTAACCTATTATATTTACGAGTAGATTCTAGATCTGCTATACTAGTACTATTACCAGATCATTTTTACTCTACAGTCTGAACCTTCATTATTTCGTTCTCAATAGAAGATTTCAGGAATGTTATGGCGATATGGGTCTAATGTTGATTTTCTTTCCATGTATCAAGGCGTATACGTGTAAAACGCGTTACTGATATTACTGACTGGAAGGAAGTAAACAGGATTTTCAATGATTACTTCAGTAGGTCTCCAGTTTTCATATGTATGTGTGTACAGTATAAAATGTCCGTGTTAGTCTCAGCTGCACGCAGAGATGTAACTACCAAACACAACTTTTATACAATAATAAATTCAACTCAACTGGTTTATATATAGCACAGAAATTATTAATAGGCCCCGCTTATAAATTGCTGTACACGGTCCATTGCGGTCATGCCTATGGGTTACACAGTCTCAAAGCTTGTACAAACGGACCAAGACGTTTATATGATAATAAATTAAATCTCTAGCTCTACAAGCTCTTTATACAAATGTTAGTAATGGAAAGCCGTGTAATTCGCTAGTCATGGCAACTTGAACTCCAGGCGGTTAAGTTTTTATGTTAGGTTTCTTGAATTATTTGCTTTAAAATTTTAATTCCTAAGACCAACCACGTAATGAAACAGATTTTATTTTCCCCATACATGAATGGATATTAATCCAGAATGTTATGTGGCGGCAGATTTAAATCTACACGACACAGCACTCGAGCCTTATACACGATGTTTGTTTACTCTTATCTTATTTTAATTACTTAGAAACAGTTTCAGTGTTGTCAAGTGCATGGCGTTACTGCGTGACTTATAACACAGAGTTTCGATCTCATGATTAGATCCATTGTTACCTTATACACATCACTCGGGTCTACAGGCAATACAGCGCTATCGCTGATCTACACAATTTCCAGTTCATCGTTACGCACACACACACTAGGGTACACTCTCTTC